CAAAGTTATCAACAAAAAGAAACACGAAAAATAATATGAAACAAATAATATTTATTAAAACATGTAACTATTTTTAGACTATTAAATTCAAAATACATATTGTTTTTCATTTTGTCCAATTATTTATGTTTTCATTTTTCATTTTTATGTTATACTCTTTTTAGGGTACTTAATTTTTTATTTTTATAAAATAATAAGAGCCTTATTTTCTACTTTTCTTTTACTTATACAAAACATAATTTCAGTTTTTTTAATATTTTTAAATTTTTCATATTTATTTAAATTTTTGGATGTTTTGAATTTTTGTATATAGTGATTCTAAAAACTTTACACTTTCATAAAGATTAATAATTACTTGTCATAGTTTTACATAGTTGAAAATAGTTTTATCTTATTTTACATAGTCCGTATTTGTTTACAAATTTTAGATTCTCTTCAATTGATGGAGGGGTATCTCCCAGTAGCATTAAATCTACGAAAAAGGGGTGTTGACTTGGCATTGGAATGCAAGTCCTGTCAGAATGAAGAAGTGACTACACTGCATGCATTTCATTCTTGTAGTGCATCGTAACATGTGTGGCGACATGTTGGGATGGGCTTCTGTTTTCCAGAAACAGAGATGGAGGATTGGGTTTGTCACACCCCATACCACATCTAAACGTGTGTATAACCGCCGTAGGATCAATTGACGTCACTCTCAAGTCAACCCCACTTAATCATACAAGGAGTCCATGAACATAGTCCATATCATACTCAATAAATAAACATACATACCAACATCACATTTAAACCAATTAATAGCAGAAATATTCAACAGTAAGTCATGGGCCACATCCGGCCAAAACATGGGATTACAGGCCCAAAATAGTTAATAGTAATTCAAATATCCATGAGCAAGTGTTTGTAGTTTAAATAAAATATGGAAGCACAAACCACGTCTTCCTTGAAATGACTTCACCCGATTGAAAGGTGCAGGTAGCAAGCTCTAGCTTAAACCTGAAAATGGTGCCCCCCGAAGGGGTCAGTACGCGAATACCGAGCGAGAAGTAGACTAAATATAGAATAACTAACGTTTCAAGTATAACACCCAAACATAGGGTGATACGTATAGTTATATTCTCCTCCCAAGTCTTTAAATACATATAAGTGTATACACTAGCAGGGGCGAACCCAGAAAAGTCATTTTGGGGGGGCGAAAATATTTTTGGGAGGGTTCAAAATACTTTTTGGAAGAGCAAAAATTATTTTTCGTATATATATACACTAAAAAAAATTGTTGGGGGGGGGGGGGGGGGGGCGGTAGCCCCCCTCGGTCTCTACTACGGTCCGCCCCTGTACACTAGGAAAATACCTGACCCGTAGGTCATTGTTTACTTGGGAAATAATAGTAGTCAATGTCTTTAACTTAAAATCCCAACCCACCCATCACCTATGAGTGTATAGGACTCATCCTGGTCTAATCAAGTATTATAAAGACACCACACAGTCCTGAATTTCTAAACTGCAATCTATGAGTTTTAAGGACAGTCCAGTCCCTGGGTACTCCACCAATTATATTCCGAGTTTTGAGGACAGTCCAGTCCCTTGGTTCTCCACCGATTATATACTGAGTTTTGAGGACAATCCAGTCTCTGGGTACTCCACCAATTTATATTCATCCCTATGATCATACATAGATAGGGTCTATATCATAATCATTTATCAAGACTAAATCAAGTCTTACAGCCTAAACATAACAGTCAATGCAAAACCATTCAATAAAACAACATAGGCAAAAACAGCACCAAACCGACGCCGGTTCAGCCATAACCGGCACCGATTCCCAATTAATTTTATAAATTTTGGAACCTTGTACGCAAACTGGCGCAAGTTCAAACCATAACCGGCGCCGATTGCCTGCTGTGCAACCGGTCAACGCTCCGTTGACCAATCATTTCAAAACCAATATTTATCAAACTTAACCACAACGTGTATTAAGTCACAAACAAACATTTTATGCCATTTAGGCCATTCAAAACATCACATATGTTTTTATAAATATTTTCATATCATTTTCATGCATATCTTAATGGTTCATTTCATATAAGCCTAATCACCTTGGCTAATCACATGTTTAAACTCTTTTAAACATCATTATGAACACATATAACATTTACTTAGGTAATCTCATACTTAACCCAGGAGTTATAAGACATTAAGCCGTCCACTCACCTCGAATGAGCTTTAATACTATCTACCCTTCTCGGTTGAACTCCGGCGAAGCTCCGACGAACTTCGTTGAAATCCGGCGATAACTACGATGAACACCTTAGACAAGTTCCCGACAAGGTTTTAACATCCCAAAATCCATATTAATACAAACAACCTCTAAAAGGTTATTTTCCAGCGAATCAGATACTTTGGCTTCTAAATCCGTTCTTGGACTTAGAACTATCTTCCAACCCCCATTCTACACTTCTAAATATGTAAAACAATTCTAGGAGTCCTCCATATGATGTACAAGTCATATGAGAATCAAATGAGTAGAGAAAAGTTGTTATAAGGCCATTACCTTAATTCTTCACACTTTCCTTCACGTTTTCCTTCTTTAAATCCCCTTTTGGACCTTCCTTGCTTGAGCTCAAATTTAGATATGGAGGTAGGTGTTTGTGGAGCTTCTTTCTCTCCTTCTTGGTGCCTTGGGCGAGCTAAGTGATGGGGGAAAGGGGGTTGAGACTTCCTTTGTCTCAATTGAGCAATAAGTGAGGGAGGGCCCCCCGATGACCCACCTAGATGCCAAACACCTCAAGTCAACCCTCCCATCCTTTCTATCACACACCATTCATCCTTCCTTGTCAATCTGAGCACACAAAAACGTGGGGTGGCCCCACTCATGTGAGAGGTCACCCTATTATGTCCCGAAGTGTACACTCGGCCCCGAAAGTTGTATTTCTCAGACTGTTTTAATTACATTTTATTTTATCGGTCCAAATAAAATTTATAACATATTACCAACGACTATGGGCCTTTAGAATGAATATATATTCCCCAACTTTAATTTAGAAGTCCTCGTAATTTATTACGACTGTTATCTGATAAATTACCAATACCGATAGTTGGGTCTTGTTTGACCAACCGGTCAACTCTATGACATTCCTATTGCCCAACACGAATATACACCATCTTATAAATATGATCTAGACTAAGTTGAATATAATATGCGGTTCCAGTAACATCAGGTGGTCCCACTCTGAGTGTGGGCCCCACGTGTGTTTCACTATTCACGCAAAAGTAGAACAAAAATTTACAACCTCGTAAATTCATTAACCATTTATCAAGATTCAATACATATTATTACTCAAAAGTAAATATACTTGGAGACGATGTTACACGGTTAAAAAGTGCCTGGAAGGTAAAAAAGATGAGGATTGGTGTTGGTTTATCATGGTCCTATGACGTTTATGGAAAATAAGGAATGAGTTGGTTTGGGAGGGTAAATTACTTACTGGGATGACAGTCCTTCATGGAGCAGAAACAATGCTACAAAGTTGGCGTGCTGCACAGTCTCCTCGTAGCAAGGCAGATCAACGGACATCAAGGGAGTTAGTTAGGTGGCAGCGGCCGGATAGTGAAAGGATCAAAGTAAATGTGGATGTTGCGGTTAACACAGAAGGTGGGATAAGAGCTTGAGGTGCATTGCTCGTGACTCTCAAAGGCAGTTCAAGGAGTTATTAGCGGATTTAAAAGTGCAGTGTGGTCACCAGAGGAATCTGAGCCGATGGGGATTAGAGAGGCAATCATTTGGGCTAGCCAAATGGGTTGAAATCACGTGGACCTTGAGACGGATGCTTTGACGGTGGTCCAAACAGTGCGCACAGATAAGGGTCTCTCTTACTTAGATATGTGGTTTGATGACATTAGATTTTTGCTTGAAGTGTATCCTCATATTTCCTTGTCCTTTTGTAATAGATCTGCTAATCATGTTGCTCATTAACTTGCAAGAGTGAGTGTTTTTCAATCAAATCTCAGTTTTAGTATGTGCTTTTATTCCCGATAGGGTTGTAATCTAGTTGGAGAACGATTTACTTATTTAATGAGAAGGCGGAGTTTTCCATAAAAAGAAATACTTTTTACTTTTATTTTACGTATTTTTAGAAATGAATAAATTATTTGTTGTTCTGACTTTTGTAGTTTTTAAATTTTTATACATTTGTTGTATTTTTATCACCTCTTTTACCCTTTTAAAATTACAAATGTTCCTCAGAATATATAGATTTGTTTCAGTTTTTTTTTGAATTTTTATATCATTTTGAATCATTATTTTCTTATTTTTTTAAAATTATGCAAATTGTAAGTCTAATTGTAGAACATAAAATTGGTACATGGATTTTCAATCTTCCCCGTGTGATGCATAGTTGGCAAGGTCTATTATTAAAAAGGAACTCTTTCATGGTCTATTTTTGAAAAATTTGAAAAGTGAAAAATATGATATTACTCTTACATTTAAAGCTCGTTTGATAATATCGAAATCGACTGATTCTATTGAAATTGATGAAATTCTGGTTGAAGTGGCTGAATTGACATATTGTACTGATTTATGTAAAAGTAATATTTAAAATATATCTTATTAGTAATATAAAAAAGGGAAAGTTCCCGAAATAGGACTAAAACAGTTTGAAAATTCCAAAATAGGATTGTCATATTTTTTATTTCCAAAATACGACTAATTGCTGTCATGTTTAGAAAATACTGCCATGTTTGAAGTCTAGTACTGCCAAAACATGACAGTAATTAGTCATATTTTTGGAATAAAAACATGTCAGTCCTATTTTTGAATTTTTAAACTGTTTTAGTCCTATTTCTGGTAATTTTCTCTATAAAAAACTATAGGAAAAAATAGTTAAATTGGTTCTCTAGACTTGGCCGGCCCAAGTGAGAAACAGTCCCATTGGCCATTGCACAGGGCCTGAAAAAAGAGAAGGCCCAAAAAGAAATTTTGTAATGGTATTAGGAAATAGGAAGTAGCCACTAGCCAGAGGTCAGCGTCTATTCAACCAAAGGAACGAAGCCTGCGTCGAGGGCAATAGGGCAGTCAGCGGCTCACCGCGGCAGTTGAGCAAGGCGACCTCCGTCTTCCGTGACCTCCGTCTAGGCCTCTAGGGACGCTACCTCAGCACGCCAGCAGTCTAGGCGGTCCAGCACCGCACCTCCGCCGGCTCAGCAGTCCGCACGCCAAGTCGGCAAGTCGCCACCGCAGCAAGCCAGCAGTCTAGGCGGCTCAGCATTGCACCTCCGCCGGCTCAGCAGTCCTCACGCCAAGTCGGCAAGTCGCCACCGCAGGTAAGTTTATCTATTTGACTATTTTAAGTTTTAACTTTAAAATTTTAAGGAGCATATCGTTGAATCATTGAGTTTCTTATATGTTTGGATTATTAATAGATTATTTAATATTTATTAGGCCTTAGGCCTTCTAACCTATTACTTCGTATGAAAGTTAACAAATTAGGTATTGAGGTTGTTATTTTTGATTTTGTGTAATTGCTTGATGAATTAGTTAAGAAATAATTCCAAATATATAATCAAAATAAAAGTATTGGACAAAAATGTGACCCCTAGTAACTTAAGTGATTATAATTATATTCAAATGTTACATTATAGTGACTAAAACTTACTCATAGTAAATTATAGTCACATTTTTGTCCATAGATTTTTTTGGCTAATATTTTAGGAAAAACCTCGTTAATTAAACTATTTATATTTAATAATTTGGTATAAATGTATAATTATGCTATTACTCATTACTTTTAGGTTGTGGGTTTAAAGTTGTCAAGTCAAAATTAAATTAATTTTTAACTTAAATTTGTAAACATGTACATGATTATAGGAATTATGTTTAGAAAGAAATATCAATTTGGACATCAGAACGTCAAAAGAAAAGAATTAACTTTGTCCCAAAAAGGAGCTCTTGATAAATTCATTATCAAAGAAGCTGGAGAGGCCAAGAGGGTGAACAAAAGGATATTGATGTTGATAAAATTGTTGAAATAGCAGATCATTGTGACAATGATCCGAATTCTGAATCAATTGATAACGACTATTTTGAGATTGCTGATAATGAAGACATGAGAAATGATATTTTTGATGATAGCCCAAATTATTCTGCCTTGTTTGACATATATGATCCAAATTATTTAGGTTCTATTTCCCTTTGTGTTGGAAAGAAAGGCCCAATTTTTTGATCGCACAGGGTCTCTATTTTTCCAGGATTGGCCCAACCTCTATATTAACTTCAGTCAATATAGTTGGAAAAATAAGTGCAACCTTACCTTTTCTTACTATTACACAATTCCACCCGCAAAATCAAAAGTTAAGAGTTAAGTGTTTGATGAAAAAGTTGGCCGATAAGCCTGATAAGCTGAAAATCACACTAACCAAACAGGCTCGTAGTCTATTTGTTAAAAATTCCCTTGTCTATGGTGGACCTTAGATATTTGGGCCATCACTTCTATCACCGTTTTATTGGACCATACATTTCTTCACCATACAATAATTCCGATGAGCCCATAGTATTTCTTATGCAGTCGCCCGTAATCATCCCGTTTTCCCTGTGTAGGCCTTGGCCTAAGCATATTGGTATATCTGTCTTCTCCATTTAAAGTTTTATCCTTTTATCATTCTTTGATTTTACAAAAAACATGTTTTTTGCTCCTTTGGATACAATGTTTGCTTCACAACTGTTCGATAAAATGCCAGTGCAATGTATTCTCAATCAAAAGTGACTTATTGCAATAATAACTTCTTGAGTTTCTGAATATAAGAGCGTTTCCTCTATTAGCTTATGTTTGGAATTGAAATTCAAAGTGTGATACATAAATCATTGTTTACAGGTGATGGAGTGAATTTGATTCTTCTACATGGAGGGATGCCATTGCTTGTTCAGCAATGGATGTCTCGAATCTGTTCTAATGACATTCTTTCATAGACATGAGGAAATTTTTATTCTTACTCCCAAACTATAATCCTCGAGTCTTGTTTTTCAATGAACAATTGTGTTCAGCTATCAGCCATCTCTCTATCTTCTTCTATTCAAGTGATTGTAAGGTTGATAGGATCGATCCTCGACCCTTCCCTGATTATTCTCCTAAGAAACCATCCATAAGAGATGCCAAACTTGTCCATCAAGTGTCTAATACTGTTAAGCAACGTCGTTGTGAGACCCTTAACAGTACTTTACATCCATTTGAACGCAATTTCAGGTCTGACCATTTCATTTGGGTTCTCATGAACATAAAAAATGACTACAAACTAGTTCTGGATTTGTATAACTGGTGGTCCCTAAGGAGCAAACCATCACTTGAGGCTCGTTGTGTTGTTGCTCACATCGCCACATCATCTAAAGACACAGAAACATCTCGTGGACTCATACGTGGTTTTTGGGTTAAACAAAGTCTCGACATCAATCTTTCGTTCGTTAATTTCTTTGACATGCTAGTATACACATACAAGGATTGGGGCTCTAATCCTTATGTATTTGATATTTTCTTCCAAGCTCTTATTGAAGTTAGCTTGTTAGTTTATGCTAGGGAGCTTTTTGACAAGTTATTGAATTACGGCATAGTTTTATCCGTTTCTTCATGTAACCTATATCTTTCCCGCCTATCAAAGAGTATTGGTGGTCATGAAATGGCATTGAAGGTTTTTGGTGAATTTGCTACTTTGGGTATTTCATGGGATACTGAATCTTATAACATAATGGTCCATTCTCTTTGCCAAATAGGAAGAGTGAAAGAAGCTCACAACCTACTCCTTCAAATGGAAAATCGGGGATGCATCCCTGATGTTATAAGTTACAGTACTGTGATTAATGGGTATTGTACTGATGGGGAGCATCTGGTGGAAGTGCTGAAGATCATAATAGAAATGCAAAGAAAGGGTCTTAAACCAAACAAACATACTTTTAACAGTGTAGTTCTTCTTTTGTGTAAGAATGGTAAAGCATCATCCGGAGAGGAGGTCCTAAGGGATATGATATCACAGGGAATTACTCCCGATAATGTTCTTTACACAACTCTCGTTGACGGGTTTTGCAAATCTGGGGATGTAACTTCTGCATACAGATTGTTTAATGAAATGCAGTCTTGGAACGTATTTCCCGATTCCGTTGCTTATACTGCCCTTATTTGTGGTTTATGTCAATCTGGAAAGTTTAAAGAAGCATATAAACTACTAAATGATATGATTCGTTGTGGTTTGGGATCAGATGCGTTTACTTACACTACACTTATAGATGGTCACTGCAAAGCTGGTGAGATTCAGATCGCCTTTTCTCTCCACAACCAAATGGTTCGTATGGGATTGGTCCCGAATGTTGTCACTTATACCGCATTGGCTGATGGCCTTTGTAAACACGGGGAACTTGAAATGGCCACTGACCTTCTTCGGGAGATGTGTGGAAAGGGACTTGAGTTGAATATTTACACTTACAATTCACTTATTAATGGTTTTTGCAAAGCTGGAAATATTTCCCAAGCAGTAAAGGTGATGAAAGAAATGGAAGCGTTTGGCATTCTACCTGACTGTTTTACCTACACTACACTAATGGATGCTTATTGTAAATCTGGAGAAATGGCAAAGGCACACGATCTTCTGAATAATATGCTATCCAAAGCAATTCAGCCCAGTATAGTTACCTTCAATGTTTTGATCAACGGGTTCTGCTCCTTAGGGATGCTTGAAGAGGGTAGGGAGATTTTGGGTTGGATGTTGGATAAAGGTATACATCCAAATGCTACCACTTACAATTCTCTGATGAAGCAATACTGTATTAGGAATAACATTCATGTTGCATCTGAGATTTGCAAGGGGATGGTCAGAAAAGGTGTTAAGCCGGATGGTAATTCATATAACATATTGATAAGAGGACATTGCAAAGCTAGGAATATGAAGGAAGCTTGGTTTTTACATAAAGAAATGGTTGGAAAGGGATATAGACCAACAGTTGATACATATCATGCACTCATTAAGGGTTTCTTGAAGAGAAAAAAGTTTTCTGAAGCAAAGTTTTTTTTTGAAGAGATGAGGAAAGAAGGGCTGGCTGTAGGTAAGGAATTATACTGTTTATTTGCAGATATGACATTTGAGGAAGGAGAGATCGATAGGGTTCTTGAGCTATGTGATGAAGCAATAGAGATGTGTCTTGTAAATGAAACAAAACACTGTTTTAAGTAATTTACATGTGATTAATCCTTCCTGAAGAAGTATTTTGGATCTTATCTGCTCGTGTGGAGTTGCATGATTCTTCGACTTGGCTGCCATGCTTTTATCATTGGTGAGATATGGTAGGTCTTTCAGAACACACACTTTTGAATATGATTTGTCTTTTTTGTATGTATGTATTTTTTGTATTTGTGTATATATATACGTGTGTGTTTGTATTGAACTATTTATGTATGCATGTATATTTAGCTGTATACATCATTGAGTACTTCGTATATTAAGGTCTGCTCAGATTATGTTTGGGCTTCTTCTCAAGTTTATGTCTATGTGCCTGGCTCAACACTCGAGCCCTTTGTAGTATGATAAGTGACAGTAATAACAAAGTTCAGAGTCCCTAAGGACCAAGGGGGCATTTTAAGCTTTTTTGAGTTGAATCGCTGAACATCATTTCCAATCCACTGGGCGATTGACAATGCTCTGCCACCTGCAATAATTTTTCACTGCAAAGATCAGGCTCCAAGTCTCCAATAGTTCAATTTGAGCCTTTTCATATGTGATAAATTTTTGTACTTTTTCAAATACTTGTATCTTTATGGAAAATAATTGTGTCACCAACTTTTCATGAAACAAGTAATGCGCCCCTACTTTTCATCTCACAGCTGGACTTATAATTTTAGAATAACTAGAGACCCATTTTTACTAAAGAGAAGTTTAGACCCTTGTTCCATTCTCCACGGTAATCAACTAATTGTGTCTCCAATATATTGTGAGTCATTCGCAGTGGGCAATTGGTATCAGAACATTTATTTTACTGTTTGCTAATGGTTTTTTTAACCCAGGAATTCTTGCATGCTAGCAGAGAAGGTCAGAACTTAAAATGCCGCAAAGGAACCTGGGTAATGTCTAGAGTTGAACCCTGGTGGCAAACATACTCAAGAATTTGAGAGCGCGTGTGTCTTGAACATGATTACCCACTTGGCCACTTCCATTTCATGGTAATGGTGATTAGATTGTTTGTACACTTCACTAGTGTTAAAAATTAGGGGAAATCCTAGACTGGAACACTTTCATCTTTAGGTCTTTAAAATTGTCTAGTTTTTATATTCCAACCATCTAGAAGTTTCCACTTTTGTTCCTCACAGCTGGACTTTAACTAGCCTCTTTCAACGATGGGATCTGGTGGGCGGCGACTTTCGGTGGCAGGATCTGGCGGGCGGTGTCTTTCAGAAACGGGATGAGAGATGGAATCGACTGGCTAGATTTTCGAAGATGAGAGAAGCTTTCTTGAGCCACCATTGATACACCATCTTGCAGAGCTTCACTCCTTTAAGCTGTATCCCAAGGCTTCGGCTTCGTGACCGTGACGACCGTGCCCTGATGCTCCACAGTGAGGATGATTTGCATCCAAGGCAGGCATGCTCGTTCAGAACCTTATTAGTTATTCCTAGAGTCCCTCTTGAGAACGTACTGTTCATCGTATGTGGGCGGCGGCGTTTTACGAGCGTTGTGAGCCTTGGACGAGGACAGCGGAGCTTGTTGAATTAGATGGCACGGCAGTCCATTCTCGGCAAATCTGGCAAGTTTCGTTCTACCATGGAGCAGATGCTGATCGGGAAAAACATATTTGATGCCTCCTGCGGTGGGAAGGAAAGCTAAAGCTAGGGTTAGATTTTAATTTTGATAACGTGTTGTAGGGAGAATGGTTACGTAACTTCATTACCAATACGCCCTATAAATAGGGAGATATAATGGTTTACAAAGACGGGCCAATAGGCTCATAATACATTATTTACATAGGATAATCTATACTGAACAATCTATTTAAATGACAGCACAAAATGCATAATATCCTTCAACAGTTTTCATTTTTATAAAAAGGATTAGCACAACTGCTCTTGTTTTTCACCTACTTTTTTACTTGACCTTAAGGATGTATTTAGATAGAACAAAATTTAATACTGGAGTATAACATAAATCTGCGTTTAAAACATAGGGAGTACTACGTACTCGGTATATTTTATAGAGTAAATAATGACACCATCAGATTTTTTTTAGTACCCAAAACATTTACTAGTGCTCGAAAGACAGGCCTAGAGCCAAGCTCCAAACCCCGCAAGAGAAGGCCAGCACCTAAAATGCTTCAAATCTTCAATAGACCCTTAATGAGTTAATGACCGAGCTAACCGATACTGTTTAGTGTTTAAAATCAAACTTGTTACACAGTTCTCCATATGAGCTACTCCCTCCGGTCCTAAATAAAGTTCACACTTTCCTTTTTGGGCCGGTCCAAAATAAAGTTCACACTTCTTTTCCTTCCTTATTTTGCAAATTATCTACATCAAAACAGTGCAAAAAAGTGTCAAACAGTGCTAAACAGTTTCACATTAATGTACCCTACAGTAAAGTCAAATTTATTTCCTTAATTTGTGTGAAGTCAAACACTGAACTTTATTTAGGACCGGAGGGAGTAGTAGTTTTGAAGTAAGAGAATTCTTTCACATAATATATGAAAAGGAAGATGAAATATATTTTAGCAACAAATCTAATAAATCTAAGTACTAACTATTATGTTGCACAAAAAAGTGAAAATCATGGAAAAAAGAGAAATGAGAAACGCCATCCTATGTTATAAATTATAAAATACTCTCTGTCTCATTTAAAGGTTTCCGTCCACTATTATCCGATCAATGTGCGTTATTCTTAATCTTTTACTTTATATATCAAAAGTTTATGAAATTTAAATTATTTTTTGCTGATTTTGTAGCGGTTTTAATTTAGTTTCTGAATATGTAAATTTTATTTACTATAAATAATTCTATTAATGACATGGATTAGTTAACTTTATGGTTAGTCAAACATCGTAAACCGCGTGAGAACCTCAAAGTGGGATGGAGGGAGTACCAAATATCTGTTTGGGGAATTTTCGAAAAACTTTCATAGAATTTCTGGAACAAAAATATACTCTTTCCTGGAAATTTCTAAAAAAAAGGATGACACCCCATCCCTGAGGGCCCCCCAACTCCGACCAGATGGTACGTTGGGAGGATGTAAATTGGACTATAATTCCAATATGACAGATAGAGAGTGGAGCTCTGTCCCCGGTACTTGCAGAGGCCTTGTGCATTTTTAGCACAGTAACCCCTCATCGCAGTTGCCGGGATTCGAATCCAGGACCTAACCCTTGTGGCACTCCCTTGCTACCAGTTGAGCTACGCCCACCGGTTCCTGAAAATTTATGTGTTTCATAGGCGTTACCATTGAATTACTTTGAAATAGAAATCATGTGACAAGTCAAACACAAGGACAAGTAACTAATCATCACAGATGCTCTTAATCAATCCTTCAATGAGCCAATTTCTAGTTTCTTGTCGTTCCATGCAGTCATTCAAATCATACAGGACACCACACCTTGGTTTCAAAAGGACAAGAATCTAATAAGAAATTATCATAAATAGGATTAAAACAATAGAAAAGTTCCAAAATAGGAGTTCTAATTGATATATTCCCTAAATAGGAGCTAAGTGAGTTGTTCAGCCGATACATGTTCATTATGTTTACAATTATACCCTTCTTTATATTATCTTGAATAACAACCATCTTCTCTCCATTATCTTTTCCTGTCGCCTAACTCTATCCCTGTAGCCTTACGTTCTTTCTTTTTATTTCTCCAGCAACATGAATCTCTCTTCTTCATCCATTTCATCTTTTAAATTTTATTTTTCCAGATTCTCCGATAGAAAAGGGCGGCGGCGGAGGGCTGCGACACAAAGGAAGTCGGCGAAATTCATGGACATAGGTAATTATCAATTTCTCCTTTTTCTTCTTTTGTTCTTCTTCTTCTTTTCATTCTCCTTCTCCTTTTTTTCTTCTCTTTCTCCTCCTCCTTCTCTTTCTTCTCTTGGATTTCTATAAATTGTTTTGTAATTTTCAGATTCAAAAGAAAATTCTTATTTTAGATCTGAAATTTAGGATTAGATAATCCAATGCCCCAACAATCAGTCTGCAATTTTGAATCTTTCTTTTTAATTAATTTTGGTTCGATGGATTTTAAAAATTGACATGAATTTATTTACTGACTATTATCAATAAAAAATGTCAATTTGATAAATAGTGTTATTTCAAGATGACATGTGTTTATGACAATAAATGTATGAAAATGGCAATATTTTGTATTTTGCAATATGAAATTGCCATTATTTTAAATATAATGGCAATATAACAAGGATGACAATAATGTCCAAAAGATGACCATTACTTCGTATTATTCATGTTAAAAATGGCAATAATGCTCCTAAAGATGGCAATAATACTCCTAAAATGGCATTATCGCTCATATTAAATATGGCAATAGGACATTAGTATTAGTAAGAATTTATGACAATATGCATCAAAGAGTCAAATAAATTGCCAACTTTAGAATTTTCAAGACCAAAAATTTGTAGAGTAATATTTTTTTATCTTAGTATATTTATTTTTGTTTACCAAAAAAATATTTTTTATCTTAGTGATAAAAAAATATTTTAAAATAGCGATTTGACAATTTCATATTCAAACCAAAAAAATAATCTCAAAATTACAAATATATTGATTGAAATCAAATGTAAACAATTGTAATATGTATTGTAAAATATAAATAAAATGTCAAAAGAACGAAAGATGAAATAAAATTGAAAGAGAAAACAAACAAAAAACAAAAAAAATCACTAAAAGCAATCTCGAAAGAAGGAAGAAAGTGGAAGAAGAAATCAAATATAGAATTTTTAGTGCACCGTGTGTTCTAAAATTTCTTCTATTTTACTAATTGTTAAAAACTTCCATGCGTTTTAAAAAGTAAAAACCCGCGGCTTGCTTTCATTAAGGGTATTATGGTCAGTTTCTTTTAAAACTTCCGTGTGAAACATACGTGACTCATAGAACTCCTATTTTAGCATACTTTGTATGTTTTACTCCTATATTTGGAATTCTCTCGAATCTAATCATAGAGATGCTCTTGCTCAATTTCCAATGACCAAATCTCTAATCAACTTCTTGTACACAAAATTTGTACATATTTCGCACACATTTGTACGTAATTGTCTACGCACACGGAAAGTGTTACATGAATTGCCCGTATACACAGACAACTAAGGGGAGTACACATTATCTGTATGCACAACAAGTCAACAACAACAATAATAATGTACTTCCTTCGTCCCAAAACTAACTTCTAAGTTTGACTTTTGAGGTCAAACTTGGTTAATGTTGATCAATATTATTCAAAAATATATGCTTATGAGATTTATAATAAATTAACAGTTCAATGATATATATGAACAACTAATACAAAAGTAATTTCATACTATAGAGTAATGTAATTTTTAAATAATTAAGCATCAAAGTTAACAAAGCATGACCTTAATACGTAACTGGGAAGTTAATTATGGGACATAGGTAGTAATAAACGTGCACCCCTATCCAATCCAAACAGGCAACAAAAAATAGAATATGGGGACCAAACCAAAAAGGTGAAACAAAGAATAAATAGCAGGTTCAAAGAATGAATGGACGTGAGTTGCTAACTAACGATCTTCTTAATCAAACTATATTTACAAAGGCACATAAATGTCTATCTGTCTGTCATCTAACATTGCAGCAGTAGGCTTTACCTTGACTCTGCAGTTTACCCCAAAGACAAATCATTTGCTTTGGAGATTGATAATGAGCGGTGGTATAATCTTCTATGCATCCAAACTGGCAGAACTTCAAGCTGTGGACATACTCCACCCCTGTCTTCCTCGTGTTGTTCAACCTCTCCACCCACAGTCCCATGCTCACGTCTTCCATCTTGAACAGCTGCATGCCTGCATCCAACATCTAATCTCAAATGTGTTATAAAAGCACATGCTTCAACATTTAGAGGACGTTTGGCAAAACAAAATAAAAAATATAAAATAAAAGTATATTTCTACAATTTGGGTGAGGATTGATTCTGTTGTATGTAAAAGAGAAAAAAAACTGAGAGCAACCGTGTTGAAGTGATTCTGAAACCAAATAGGCCAGGCTTCGTTGTTTCGAGGAACATAACTTGTTGCGGAAAATATTTTTGGTGAAAGTGTTTTAGAAGACATAATTCTCTTACGGAAAGTTTAAAAAAGTTCGTGACTTCAAGAAAAAGTTTGAAAAACTTGAACAGTCTATTCACCCACTCCTCTAGACTGTTCCTAATATAAACCGGACCAACAGAAGCGATCCTTCCACCCTTTATGAGATGAGGGGACTTCAGAAAATAATCTCCACTCCGGGACCTGCTGAAGATTAGCGAAGCCTTCACTGCTGGCATGCCCCCCTCGGCACAAGTTGAAACAGAGAAAGAACAAGTCCAGGGTGGGTTTGACCCCCTGGCCCGACACAAAGAAAGGAACCCGGCGATGTATGAATGACTGTTGGGAGTCAGCTGGCAAGGGGTCAACTTCACAAACCTCAAATACTCCAATAGAAAGGGATGGATGGGAAACCGAAGGCCCAAGTCCACTGAAAGTAGGTGCACCGCAAAACATCCCTCGGAAGCACAGGAAAGAACGTCTTCAGGACCCGGCTCTATCACTGTCGCTAAGGGGCCAGCGTAGAACTGGGTGAGATGATACTCGGCTTCATCGGCCTTCGTCTTTAGAACGAGGGCAATGGTGTTCAGATATGAATGCCCCTCGGGGATTCCGACAGGCTGCCCGGCATATGCAGCCGCTTGCTTCTTCTTGGGGCGGTGCTCGCCTTCTTCCTCTTCTTCAAGGGCGCATCCCTAAGGGGATTCGGGTTGAGGGCTCGTGAGGTCCCTGCTACACTGAGAGCAGCCGAAGGGAAAACAAGTGTCACCTCCTGTCGCTCCTTCTCCTCCTCCT